AAAACTATTTAGAAAAATGATTCTGCTTCCTGAGCCATGCCATTCTAAACTTAATGCAACTGCAAATGAACAAAGAAAAATTGTAAGGCATAATTGTGCTCATACACACACACAGTATTTTACAGGTTAAACCTATATACACAGAAGCTTCTGAGTATTTGCAATAAACATTTGAAATAAAGGTAAGCATGTTTGCATTGATGCTACAAGGGATTTGTTTCAATGCAGTTAGTTTTAGGCCAATTTTGAAACTTAAAATATGGTCATCTATATTAGTTCTAACTTGTATTGAACATCAAATTGACAAAGAAGTAATAACAGACTCCTTTTTATACTGAGAGAGTAATTATTAATTCCTATAACTGCTGTAGAAGATAATATGATGACATCTTTTAAAATTATAAATTCATATGCCTTTTTGATCCAGAAATTCCACTTTTAAAATATATAGCCAATCAATAATAGTGACACATGCAAAATGACACAAGTCTAAGACTATGTATAGCAGCATTATTTGTATTAGTAAAGGACTGGAAACAACCTGAATGTCCATTGTGAAGGGACTGACTAAATAAAGTATAGTACATTGAAAGAAAAGAATTACTGCCTAGCCAGAAAAAAAGAATGAGCAATCTTTTTTTTAAGAATTATCATAGAATGATCTTCAGGACAGTGTGTGTGTGTGTGTGTTGTGGAAAACAATATTGCTATCCCTGACCATAGAGATTGTTTCTGAGTATTTCTTCCTGGACCCATTAGTCTACTTTAAGGACTGACATACATTAACAAATGAAACATCGAGGAAGAATGGAAACATTAAGCCAGATATGAATATAAGCAAATTAAAAGGAAATGGGTGAAGCTCTATTATATTTGTATAATATTAGTTGCAATGGAATATTGAAAAACATTCCCTCAACAATTTGAATAATAACTCAGAATCCAAGTAGAAATATCAAAAGAGAGAAAGAGTTACACTTAGATTTGTCTTTTAATAGGATTTGTATATAAAGTTAATTAAATTTTATGAATTGAAACTCCTAAATAGGTTTTATGTTTTGGACTGTACTAAAGAAAGCCATGTGTCCTCAGCCAGATACCAGAACATTAAGGGTGCCATAATCTCACCGTATTGACGAATATAAGGAGTTTCAACAAGAGGAAACAACCTATGTTAGTGAATATTAAAGACTTTTAAATATATTCCGCTTTTTGAAAGAATACATAGAAGCAACTGAGAAGTCTTCTTGGGGGTAAAAAGGAAGAGAAAATGACCTTTTTACATTTCAGATTTATACAAATTATTCAAGGTACAAAATGCTTTTTAAGTATTACCTGCTCAAGAATTAGCATACATTGTTATAAAGTCAGACATGAGTGAGGCTCTGAAGAGGCACATATTTAAGAATTGTCTGCAATAAACAGACATCAGGTGGATCTTCTCTTTCTTTAAATATAGATATCAAAAAGTGTAAATGACCTGAAACTTTGCTGCATCTCTGGGAAGATGTTTATTCATTGGAGATACACACACACACACACACACACACACACACATACATACACACACTACTGTGCATAAAATGTAGTTATAATTTGTGTTATAAAATGTACTTATTATATATGAGTTTGAATGATCAAAGAAACACCAGATTAATTTGCTTTGTGTTATGTATAATTTTTTTCACATTTTTGAAAATTGTTCACCTGACCACGTGTACTCTTTCAGTTAACCAGAAGAGTAAACTTGTGAACCCTTTCTCAGACTGTTGTGTGTAGATGAGAGCATGTTATATCTATACCCCATGCCCCTGGCCCCTGTCTTGTTTTATAGCATCCAGGAACATTCTGCTCTCTTTTATAACTCTTATGCTCAGTTTAATTTAATTAAAAGTGATTAATTAAAATGAACCAAAGGTCAAAGTAGACTCTGCTTCCCTCATGACATCAGAATTTGAGACTGGTTCCTCTTCTACTATTGGAGTGAGGTGATCTGAGAACTTACAGTTGCCTGTGAAAATTCATCTGCTTGTTTTGTGCTTTAAACTCACACAGTACTTTCATGGCTACCTCCTCAGTTCATTCTCATTATCAAAGTAAACATGCAATTATTGTTTTCCATATCCCTTTACCAGTGAAGAATTGAGACTTTAAGGGGTCTACAGACCTGCCCAAGTGGTGTGACTATGATTATAAGTCAGTTCCTGGATTCATGCAGGAGAATGGTGAGGATATGAGAGTGGTTGGTATGCAGCAGTTTTGTACCCCACTGGGCGGGCACATGTCATTTTGCATGACAGAAGTTTTGAAACTGAGCCTGTATGATTTGCTTTACACCAAACACTAAAAAAGTCAGTTGGCTTAAAGGTGATAAAGGGCCAGGTGTGGTGTCACATGTGGAAGGCTGAGGCAGGAGAATTGTAAGTTTCAAACCAATCCCAGCAACTTAGCAAGGCCCTAAGGACTTAAGGAGACCCTGTCTCAAAATAAAATGTAAAAAAAAGGGGGCGGGGTGCGGCTGGGTGTGGTTCAATGGTTAAGTTACCCTGGGTTCAATCCCCAGTACCAAAAAAAGAAAAAAAAGCTAAAGGATCTTTTTGGAGAGATTTAATAATAAGTTTACAGTGTGACTATTTTGTGTCCCAAAAATAGAATGCTTCAACTTGCAAATCTTTAATGACAGTGTCGTTCTTTGAGTTGATGTTTATTTTCATGTCTGAAAATTAATTCAGGTCTCTTCTTTCATTTGTAGTCCAAGAAATTACTTGGAACCAGTAAGAGGGCAGATACAGAAGACTTTGACACGTGCTGTTCTCTTTCCACCTCTAGCAAACTCCTTCCAGCTGATCTCAAGGGAGAACTAGAGAAAACCCCTGTGTCTCCAACCAAATCCACTGCTAAATCCACTGCCCTGCTTCGATCCAAAAAGAAACTCTAAGGCTCCCTCCAGTGCTGAATAGTACAAAAACAAACTGTTCTCTCTAGTGCTAAAGGGAGGGCATAGGAGGGGAAAGGACAGTACTAAACGGAGATTCTTTTTAGCTCGGCTGGGCCCTGCCTTGTGTTTCATCAGGTTAAAACTGAAGCTCGTTATCTCCAAAGCAGTGTAAACTGCACAGGGTGTAGAAGGACAGCCACCAACAGGCTTGATGTCAGGCTGCAGCTGAAATCAACATAAGTTGTACCTGAAGTTTGCTTTGGGAGGGGGTGCAAATGCCCTCAATGGAAGGCTGTGGGCATACTTGCTCAGTTTTACTTAAGATTTTGCATTTAGGCACAATTATTTGCAAGGGAAAAACAAAAGGCCAAATATGGTAATGGAGGTTCCAAATAATTATGTGCACTTTGCACTAGAAGACTTTGTTAGAAAATTACTAATAAACTTGCCATAGGCATTATGGCAGAAATGCTTCAGTCCTTCACGTGTTCTTGTGATTTTAGGTTGCTGTAGATTGTTTAGGACAACTTATTTTAAACATAAAAAAATAGGACATTTTGTAACTGCTTGCCATTAACTTGCTGCTAAATTCTCAATGTATTGATTAAGTCAATAAAAACCAGATGTTACCCATGCACGTTAATTTTTATGTTAACGAGAAGGGAATATATTAAGGTCTTGTAATCCTTAGACCATAGTTGGCCTGTTGCTGCAATGGTAGGTGCATACCTTGGGGATGGGCATGAGGCTGGATACAGGGAAAATACATCATTAATCTTAGTATTAGAGATATCTCCTTTCCACCCAGTTAAATAATTTTGCTATCCAGAGGCTAAACTGGGTGAATGAATGTTTCTTTTGGCTTCCCAATTTAAAAAAAAAATCAGTTTGTATTTTTCTTTATAAAGTAATAACCTAGCTTAATTTCAGACTCTCATGGCATTGTCATTTAGGACTCCAAAGTGAACCATACTTGGCCAGTTAAGCAAGTACTAGTATATATAAATCCATTCAGTGGCTGAAGGATGTACATGTGCTTTTTGCAATTAATTTAGAAGACACTAGTGTGATTCTGAATGCAACAGAGATAACACTGGCATGAGTTACCCTGGCCAAGGGGTTCTGCCAGTATTTTCTTAATACCTTCAACCTGCTTCCATTGAGGGAATCTGTGAGCCAAACATGTCTAGTGTAAGTAGTCTTAGTCTTATTTTAAAACTGAAGTTGATGTAGCTTCTTCAAGTTCTTTCCTCCTTTTTGATTATTATTTCCAGTTCTCTTGGAATCCCGTACAGCATCTTCTAAGCTTTAAGTATTCTCTTAGGGTTTTGTGAGCCAGCCTTTGAGGAGTGTGTTCTGTCCACTAGATCATAACCATGGCCTCACTAGCTAAATGGAAATTTCCTTTTCCTAGTAGTACTTGGAAGCAGAGGGGAGAGCTATAGTCTGTCACCTCTGAAGGGAAGAGCAGGGACCTAGACCCTGATGGAGAGCTGGTCTCCTTGCAAAACAGCCAACCAAGACTGTGGCTATGACTCTGCAGAGTTCCCAGGCCTGAAAATGGACTATTCCCTGTGTTCAAAATGCTTTTACTTTTACAGTGATATTGTCTTTGGGGATTAGAGGAGTCTGTGGTAAAATTGAGTACTATCCACATCTCTCTGGGCCCTAAATTAATGATTCTGTTCAGTAAGCCTGAGCAAAGCACCAGAACTATCTACTTATTGAAAATTGAAGTTGTTTTATAACATTTTAGTGTCTCTGTACCTTTTCCCATCACACACCAGGCAAGAACCAGCCATCCTTCCTATCATAAGATGCATTCTATTAGCTCTCCTAATAACAGAGATATTCTGTTACATATCTTCATCTTATTTGCATAGAATCTTTCTGATAGAAATTTAATTCACTCTTTGGAGAGAGAAGTTCCTTATTATTTCTGTTATTTATTCATAAGGAACACATTGAGACTGGGCCGTATCTGAGCTTTGTTTTCCAACTAATAGTCCTCTTTCTTCATTTGATTTCCATTGCTGTGAAAAACGTTGCTCTTCCCTTTCAGCTTGGCTTCGTTGACCAAAAGGCTATCTCTGAGGCATCAATGACAATCTCTCTGACACCTCCCATGCACCACAGGACAGAGAGCTGGGTTTTGCCCAGAGGGACACACTTTGTCTCCACAGTACAAAGCAGTTGTTTCCAATACTGATCAACTCTCTGACTTGATGGCAGGTAAGTCAAGGCAGGAAGAATGTAAAAAAGATAGGAATGCAGGCCTGGAGCTGGGGATGAGTTCATCTGAGAACAGAAGATGGTATCAGAGAAGAAAGGAAAATGATTGGGGTTGGGGAAAGCAAAATGAGAAGCAAGTACAGTTAACAAAACTGAAGAATGGCATGTGGCTTTGCCAAACCTGGAAGCAGAAGTCAAAGAAGGGAAACACTGCTCATTGAATAGCCAGTCTAAAACAAAATTAGCCCCCTCCCTGGCCTGTATACAATCAAAGCCAAAGACAGGGCGAGGAAACAAAGATCTATGGAAGCTGGGAGGCTGTGGTTTGAAGATTTGGCCACACATAGTCCTTACGTTTTGAGTAAGAATGTTATGTAGTATGGGCAGGGGAGGGAGTAGAAGAGAAAAAATAAAAACATTTTGTGCTTATCATGGAAATGCTTTGTTTAAATAATTCTATTTGACTCCAAAATATAAGTTCCAGGTTAGACAGATCAAAAGCAGTGAGTCTTGAAAATGAATCTTTTAAAATTCCAGCCCTGCTGTTGGAATAGAGAATAAAGGCTTTGTTCAAACATGCATTCCCAGCAGTAAGCAGGGCTTTGAAATTGGCTGAGGAAGTTGTGTCCTATAATGGCTGCACTTGGCTGGAGATCAAGATGCTGTGGTCTCTGAGAAATGACCCTGAGCTGGATATTTTCTATTGACCCCTTCAAAACTACTCTGCCTGCTCTGTCCTCTCTATCCAGAGGCTGATCTGTAGGGACTGCATTATCGGGCTGCCCTGACTCCTGGATTAGTTAGGATTCTGTCCATAGAGAACAAGCCCCAGACGTTCCTCCCAGTGCCTTGTGTGCTGGGCCACTTGGCATTTGCTGCATCCTCCTTTTAAAGGCCAAGCTCCTTGGCATCCCTTAGCAGTGTGCTCCTGGTCCCTTTAAGGACAAGACCAGCCACTGTTGCCCTTGAGTACTATATTTTCCTTTGTGGGTTTCCCTCTCTGTCTCTTTATAAATTGTCTCTTCCTTGAACTCTCTTCTTTCCCACAATCCAGATCCTTTCCTCGCCAACTCTGCATTGTTCTTGACCCAGGATGGTTCCTATCATATTAGAGTTAAGCAATGAGCAGAGCACGAAGCCTAAATGAGTTCTTCCTGAAAACATGAGGCACATGGGTAGTCACTGGGGGCTGGAGCAGGGGTGCAGGGGAACTGTTCCCAGGGTTGGAACCTAAGCAGAGTAAAATAAACCTAGCATTAACCAACTGAATCTGAAATACAAAATGGACTCGACCCAAAAGGCTTGCGTTTTTGTCTTAAATTCCAACCCTAGCTTTGGGGCCTAAAGAAATAAAAAACCAAGAGGCCCTCCAGCCTGGGAGAGGGGCCACCCTGCTGGTTCCTGGCTGTTGATGAACATCTGCCTAGAGGCTTCCAGGGGACCCAGGACCTGTTGTGCCAAAGACAGAAGCACAGGCGGCCTGAAGGCAGGACGGCTCCCTGGGCTTTGCCTTTGCTTCATCTTTGCAAGCACAAAAATCACTTCATAAAAGCATTTTAAAGTAAAATTTCCACTATTCAAAGGTCTTACATAGTTCAGTTTTACTCTTCAGGATCCTGTATTTTTCTGAGTGAGCTGACTTCGAACTGATTTTTTATTTCTGTTCAGTGAATTGTTATCACTTAATTCTCATTGGTGAGCCAATTTTCTTTGCCTTTGTTCTTCAAAGGAAGGCCATATTCAGCAACCGTCTTGCATTTTAGTGTCTGCCTTCCTTAGTTGCTGGTGTAATCAACCCTGTTCTGGCTGTGTCAATTCTCCACATTTCCCTAAATTATTGGGAGCAGCCCCCAGCAGGAGTCTTGGGGCCTCTCACCTGTGCTGTGAGCGGCAGCACTCAATTGGTGGTAGAACACTGGGAAAGCCAAAGGGGTCGTCACAGGCGTTGCTGCAATCTCAGAAACCTTCTTCTCCCTGCTGCCCAGTGCCATCCCATCTGGGAACACATAGCAAAACCTCAGAGGACCTCCTCCCCACAGGAGGCAGTGGTTTCTGGCCTGCTGCATCTGAAGTTAGGGCCACAGATGCAGTGCAGCCCTCTTGCCCCAGTACAGACTTGGCTCACCCCTCTCCTAACTAGATCAGGCAGCATCTTCACACCCTAGCCCTGGCAATGATACAGAGGGCCCACCTGTCTCCCTGCACGTGGGGCACTGAAGCATACCTTTCACTCTTTTTCTGCAGGCAAGGTCCTGAAAGCAAGCTATTGTTCAGGGAAGACTTCCCTCATTAGCCCAGAAATCTGTTTCCATCCATAGGAGCAATTGCAAAGTCCCAGCAACAGCATTTCCAGCCTCCCCAAGGGACAAGACGGGTGCATTGGAAGATGGAAAGCAACTGACCCTTGTGTGGAGGTGGCCACTAGTATGTGCTGGTCCTAGATTTGATTTACACTGAATTTACTTGACATCACAGTCCTCTTGTAAGGGGGATTTTAGATTATATTAGTCTGTCTTTTAACTAAAGTCCCTCTCCAGAATGATGATGTAATAATAGCAGCAACATTTCACAGCACTTACTCTGTGCCAGACACCATGCTAAGCCCTTTATGTGTATTAGTTCTTTTAATCCTTACAATAAACTACGAAGATGGTACTATTTTTATCTCTACACAGGAACAAATTGAGGCACAGAGAGATAAAGAAATTTGTTCAAGGTCACGTAACTAATAAGTAGCAGAACCAGGATCCGAGCCCCACCACCAGGCTCAAGTGCTATTGTAGCGCTACGTGCCTCTCAAGGCCTTGGTGGCTTTGCTTCCCTACTCTTTAGGCCTGAGACTGGGGTAAAGTTTGATCCCAGGTTTTCAAAAGGTCAGTGGCTCATGCACACCTCTGTCTCCCAGAGTAGTAATATAGGCAAGCTTGAGATCTAAGATATCAGAAGAAAGCAGAATTATTTTACATCTTGACAAATTTGAGTAAGATCCAACAACATGAAACAAGGAAGGCTGCATTCTGAAGGACTCTGCATGATAAAAATAAATTTTCAGTGTTTTCACTGGTCACTCATTATCTGGAACAGTCTTCAGCAGCCTTTGAACATGTCTTTGACCAAAGAGCAAAGGCTCTGTTAACTTCCTCGGGCGGGCACTCCTTCTGTGTGAATGTAGTAGACTGATGCTTCCCAGGAGCAAAGGTTTGCAATTCCCATCTCAGGTAAATTGGGGTTAAGAATCATTATAATATTTCTATTTCTATATTTCTTCTTCAGGTGGGATGGGTAGCTGTGTGGCTGAGGATGCAGAACTCAGAGCCAGCTACTGGAACTCTCCTCTGCACCCTTATTTGTGTGCCTCTAACTTTTACCATTACTTACTGCTTTAGGATAACACTAGACACAAGGATGTCTTCCCCTGTCCTCCTGACATCCTTCTAGCTCAGGTGTCTCAGACACACTCATCGTGCGAGGCAGGAGGGACTTCTGATCTGGGGGATGAAACCAACAGCTAGGGGTGGTACTGCCTCCCCTGGGCTGCCCATCTCTCAGTCAGCTGTGTGCTTCTTGGTGCTGAGAAAAGAGAGGCAGATCTAAATTGGGGTCCTGGTTGCTGGTTTAGAACTTTTGGAGGAAACACCTTCTAGTGGGAAAGCTCCCAAACATACTGAAATAGGTCATTTTTTGAAGGAGTTATGTTTTTTTCCGCAGGAGCAGTTGCCGGGTTCTAGCTGTACTCCCTTTTCCCCAGCAATGCAGAACTTAGTCACAGACCTCAGCTATTCAGTTGAAGTTTCATGTCTACTTTCTGCTTCCTGATTTTTTATACTAGTTCACATCCATGAAACACTGCCACGTGCCCCACCCCATATTAAACTTCAGCAAGAATGTCTCACCTGCAGTGCATCCTGATTGCTTGGAGAGTAGCTAAACAATTCTTTCTCCAAAGTGACCAGCCTCTGGCTCTGTGGCAGCAGCATGAAAGATGGAGTGGCATAAATGTTGTTCACCAGGTAAGAATAGACTGAGAGCTTCAGCTATTCATTCAAGAAACACCTCTACTGTCTACCATGTACCAGCCACCATGACAGGCACGTGTGCTAAAGAGCCACATAGTCTTGGAGGTACAGGGGACATGATAGCAGTCTATACAAACATGTAATATGATTATCTTGTGACTAGATCTAAGAACAGAGTTAATAGAGTGCTATAATAGAGAACAGCAGGGTAAGACCCCTCTTGGAGAGCCTTTCTGAGGAAACTTGAAGGCTAAAGTGAAGTCAACCATGGGAAGAGCCAGGGTAAGAATGTTTTAGGCAGAGGGAACAGGGAAAGATCTCAGGGGATTCCAGGACTTGGTTCAAAAGCCAGGGTGATGGGGAGGAAGACCAGGCAATTCAGGACCTTGGAGATCTCATTTCTTCTAAATATCATTGACAGGCTCTCAACTGGAGAATGACATATGGTTGTGTGTATAAAGTACTCTGTTTTCTGTGTAAGGAATGACTCAAAGAGGAGCAAAAAGGGGAGCAGGGAGATTAGTTAAGAGGACATCAAGTGAGGTGGTGGCAGAGAAGATGAAGAGAAATACATGAGGTATACTTTAGAAATAGATTTAATGGGATTCAATGAGGATTAGATGTGAAGGGTGAAGAAAAGTAGGAGAGAAGCAGGAATGACCTTTGGCTTCAGTAATCAGATTGATGGTAAGTGCATGTGCTTGGGAAGATGGAGTTGGCAGTTGACAGTGGGATGGAGACTTCTATCTGGTCCTATTAAATTTGAGTTGCCTAGCAGATCTTTAAGTGGAGATGGTTGCCTGAAACAGATTTAAAGGTAGAATGGATCAAGGAGGATGTAGCCAAACCTCCTTATAACTTGATTAACCAAATCTGAATTGTGACAGGTAACAAGGCCACAGCAGCCAAATCATCATTCCATAGCCTCCCATCAGCAAGAAGTCAGAAGACCGGTGGACCAAGAACTTATCCCAAATGAAATTTGCAGGATAATAACTTTTTGAATGGTTCTGTCAGCACCCACCCACCTCCATGACATGCTTCCTGGGATGGGGGCTCCCTGCCTTCCAACACAGATGAATCCTACTCTACAAACAACACATATGCTAGAAGAGTCTTCACATTATCTGACATCTGCTCCTCTCCGGACTCTCTGGAACCTTATAAAGTCAGCTCCTGCTGCCATGCAATGGCCCCTCAGGGTTGAGGGTGATCTCTAAATCCCCGAGCATCTTCTACAGTCCAAATATCCCCACTTCTCTTGGGCTCCAGTCTAATTTTTCTGTCTCTCCAAGTGTGACCTGGACCCCAGAACTCTGGATGCCACACCTCTGTCATGTGTCGTGTGTTCCTGTTAACAAGGATGCATGGCTATCTGGCTTTAGTTCCCTGTGACAGGCTTTAATGACAACATATCTCTGAAGCACATTTATTTTCTTACTTATGTCCTTGTGGCAGACTTCCTGTCACCACTAAAGAATCCTTTTGCTGCATAATGCCCTCAGGAGTAACAGAGTATGTTGATGTGCCTGGGTTGGATCTGAGTCACAGAGCCCTGAGTTTACCAGAGAAGACAGAATTATTTTCCATAAGTCTCTGTCTTGCTAATTATGCACTGAGATATATGGAAAAGTAAAAAGGTACAGATCAAATTACAGACCTGCTTGCCAGGGAATGCATTAGCGGCCCAGCTACCTCTGGAGGGGCAGTAAGACACAAAGGAGAGGCCTGGCAACCTCAGACAGTACCTGTCCCAAGCCCTCTAGCAGACACATGTGAGTTGTCATCCGTGCCTGAGTGCTGTGGGCATCCCGCCTTCCCATCCTCAGGCATGGCGAGTGGGGTGGGAATTAACCTCCATGACTGGCTCCAATGGCCCTGAGTGTTCCTCCTCTGTTACTAAAAGGAATCTGTGTCATTTTCAGAGAAAATTCTGAGCTACACCCAAACATCTCTGAGAATTTCCAGGAGTGCTCTTGCATGTCCTTGGTCACCTGTATCTCTTTTCCTAGAGCAGAAGTTCAAGTGTGACCCTCAACACCAAAGTGTTGCTTCTGATATCCTGGCCTTCACTGTTCCTTCCAAGGCCTCTGCTTTACTGGCTACTGGGCAGATTCTGGTGAGCCAGTGGCTGGGGTAGCTGCTGCCAGCAACATGCCACATGTCCAATGTGGTGAGGGTCAGTCTTGAATCCCAGGGATCCATCCTGACCTGGCATGATGCAGTTGCCTAAGCTCTTGGGTCCTTCTTCCCTCACCGCAGGGTGTCCCTTAAGTAGACTGGCCTTGTGGAGCAGAGTGAGTGGGTGGTGAGTGAGTGCTGGGGAGCATGCAACGTAAGATATAGGGTGGGAGCTAGGTAGGAGTATTTGGGAAGGGGTGTCCTGTGGGATGTGAGTGGGAGGGAGGGGCCCTCAGAAATTGCTCAGGCTTCTTTGGCCCCACTCCTGGGTCTCTGGAGCTTTCCAGGAATCCTGACATGCAATGTGTCTGCTTTCTATCTGGACTCCAAAGTAAAGACACCAGCAGGCTATTTCCAACTGTCAAAGGACAGAATGCAAAGAGCATATCTGCCTGTGATGAAGCGGCTCAGGCCCACTCGTACCTAAAGTTTTGAGTGACAAAATCTTTCAAAACACAGAGCCCATCATGGAGATACTAAGAGGCATCTTTGGAGGTGCAAAATTTAAGGAGTAGCCCAGCCCTCCCTACCCTGCAGCAGGCCCAGGGAAGGAGGGTTGTGGTGGTTCAGTGCTCGCTAGACCAGAGCCAGGCAGGGTGTCAGAAGAGAGTGGAAACGAAATGGACCCCTACACGGGGTCAGGGAAGGCACAGCTCTTATGGCTTAGTCACACACAGCTCTGGCAGCTGGTCCCCTGACAGCTTAGCCCACCTTCAGTCTCTAGGGTGAGCAGCAGAAGCCCTAACCCTTAGCTGCTGTAAAGGGGGAAAGAGGCCGGCAGGAGACACTCCGCTGGCCTAGATTTCTTGAGTACCCTTAAGAAATCATGTGGAGGTCCCCATCACAGCCTTTGGAAGTGAAGAGATTTAAAATGAGGTACATTTAAATTGGCCAGTTTATGGGGAACTTGTTTGGGACTAAGGTGAATACTGGGGATTTGCAGTGGCACCCACCTGCACAATGGAGACAGCAGTATCAACATCAAGACTGTAGGGCATCTACTGGTCATTCTTGGTCAACAGGACACCATCTCCAGTTTTTGCTTTGGCTGTGACATGGTTGAGGAAAGTGGTAGTGTTTACAAGGTGCAAAGGGGCACAGTCTGGTCACTGGTTTTGATTAATGGACAAACAGAAGCAGGAAATGGGACAGCAAGGAGGAAAGAACAGGTGCTAGGAAAACACCTTCAGATTCTGCTTTTGAAGCCCAGTGGCTATGGCAGCCACCCCTCCTCCCCAGGACTCAGGATTCCAAGCCTCCACAAAGACCCCTGTTTCCAGGAGCCCCCTTGCCCCATGTGGCCAGTGTGCTGTGTTGGCTGGGTCAGAACTACAGCTCTGACAAGCTCACTGACCTGGGGAACAGTCCATGGCCAGCTCAGGAAGAAAGAAGGGAAGGAGGGTGGGAAGGGGGGGAGGAAGAGAAGGAAGGGAACGTGTTGTTTTTTTTGGAGCCCAAGGATTAGGTTGTGCTCTTCAAACTGAGTTTCCCAACCCTCCAGACTAGGACCCCTGAACCCCAAGATTCACTGATCTGCTTCTACTTTCTAGAGAAAAGGGATTTGCAAGTAAATGAGTTGTACACAACTTGCTGCTGGCAGCACATATGAACTGCTTACATACGATTCAAGAATATAAGCTTAAACACATTATAAAACAGTTCTCTGCGAGCCTGAAAATTGGCCGGTAGTTCTATTACTTTCCCCTGGATGGTATTGTTAGTCTCTCAAGTAACACAAATTCAAGGGCTACATCACCAATGATGAGTTTCTTTCTGTGGGAGTGGTGGGAACCAACAGGAACGCCCACTTCAAATGCTCATGGTTGGGAGGTAAGACCCTGGTTACCCTGTTGCTGCAAATAAGCGTTACTACGCATTTTCAGGGTAAATCGACAAGCAACTACATGGAGAACAACAAAGCTAAATTCATGGGAGTCTGTAGTTAAAAGCAGAATAGCAGCTAATTAAAACCACCACCACTTAGGACAGTGGCTCTTTAAACCCTGCAAATGTGCTTTTGTGGGGAGCTCTGCAGCACGAATGCAGCCACAAGTCTTAGCGGGCTTGGCATTGCAATCTTTCATAGTCTCTGGAAACACATTTAAGTTTAGCCCAATTCTGGGATGGAGAAAATGCTACATGTTAAAAGTTCCCCTTAGAAAGGGAACATGCTTGCTTGCAAAATAGCCCAAGATGGGTGCCTAGGCTAGAAGATGAGATGCCTGGCAGGACTGAATCCTGGTATGGCTATTGAAGGAGAGGAGAGTGAGGGAAGGGTGAGGTGGGGAGGATGTGTCCACTTCTCTGGAGAGAAAGTGAGAGAATTCCAGATAATCAAACCCTCCACTTGCAATGTGTGAAGATCCCTGTTAGGGGCTAAATATTTGTGTCCCACTTATGTCAAAGCCAACCCCCAGCCAGGCATAGTGGCGCATGCGTATAATCCCAGTATGTTGGAGGCTGAGGGGGGAGGTTCGAGAGTTCAAGGCCAGCCTCAGCAACTTAGCGAGTCCCTGTCCCAAAATAAAATACAAAAAAAAAAAAAGGGATGGGGATGTGGCTCAGTAGCTAAGTGTCCCTGGATTCAATCCCCAGTACAGAAAATTAATAAATAAAAAATAACCAACCCCCAGTGTGACTGTATCTGGAGGTAGAGCCTTTATGGAAGTAATTAAGGTAAAATGGGTCACTAAGGTAGGGCTGTGATGGAAAAGGATTAGTGTCCTCACAAAAAGAGACAATACAGAGCTTACTTGTGTGCTTGTGGGCTCTCCATCCACCTGTGTGAGGACCAGCAGAAAGGTGAATGTATACAAACCAGAAAGAGGGTCCTCACCAGAAATTGAACTTGATCCTGGATTTCCAGCCCCTTGAGAAAACAAGTGTCTGTTGTTCGAATGACCTTGTTTGTCCTTTTAATTTTAGGACAAGGTGTAACTAAGTTGCCCAGGCTGGCCTTGAACTTGTGATCTTCCTGCCTCAGCTTCCTGAGTAGCTGGGGTTACAGGTGTGTGCCACCACATCCGGCTTCTGCTTCTGCTTCCATCTCCACATGGCCTCCCCCTGTGTCTTTTTTTTTTTTCAATTGTAGTTGGACACAGTATCTTTATTTTATTTATTTATTTTCATGTGGTGCTGAGGATCGAACCCAGGGCCTCATACGTGCTAGGCAAGCACTCTACAACCCCAGCCCTCCCGGTGTCTTTGTGTGTCTTCTCCTCATCTCTTCTTATAAGGACACCAGTCATGAGATGTAGGGACCACTCACTGTGTCACTGAACCCAAGAACCAACCCCCCTGGCCATTTCTTGTGGCTGGAAAGTGTCCTGAATAAAGCGCTTAGGCTGGCGTCGAATGCCTACGGGCATCATACAGAGGCTCTGGAGATTTCTCTCCATCTCCTGTTCACATGAGCTATTTCATCTTCTTTATCCTCAAGTTTAGTGGTTGATTTTTTTTTACCCTAAATTCAGGATGTTACATTTGTTCCTATGAGATCCCATCCTGGACGTCTAGACCCAGTAAAAATTCTCACCTCAATAATGGAGAATTTTTGGCCAAGGGATGTGTTCTGTGACTCCCTTGAGGCTCTGCTTGGGGGAAACACCAGAGAGTCCTATAAAACCACAGCTTTTGAGAACTGAAAATCAAATCAATCTTTATTCTGGTGACTCTGCCCCAGTTACCCAAACTAGCTGCAACCCCAGAGCTGGCCTTCTGGAGGTCACGTGGCCCCTCCAGCTCAGCAGCTCATCACCGTTTCCCTCCCTCCCTCCCTCCCTTCCTTCCTTCCTTCCTCCCTTCCTTTTTTCCTTTCTTTCTCCTTTTTTCCTCTTTGCAGTACCTGGGATTGAACCCGGGGCCTCCTAGGCAAGCACTTTATTACTGAGCTACACCCCCAGTTTCTATCTATCTATCTATCTATCTATTTATTTTTAGGCAGGTTCTCACTCAATTGCCCAGGCTGGCATTGACCTTGTAATCCTCCTGCCTCAGCCTCAGCTGGGGATACAGACTTGTACAGCCACACCCAGCAGGAGGGATTGCTCCTTCCATCATTGGCCACAGCTGCAGTTGGAGTACCAGAGAGGGTTCTGCTTACAGCTGATCCACCTGAGCCAGAAATGCAGCAAGAACACACCTACTTCCCTTTGGCTCCCTTTCCCAGAGCTCATTGTAGGACACATGAGCACACAAAACAGGTCTACTTACCAGCCTTCCTCAGCTGACCACTTGGGTTAAAGGCCCAGCATCTCAGGCCTCTGCAACTGGGGAGGCCCTGAGAGCAAGGAGCCCTTAGCTATCTGGAGGGTGGCTGTGGCTACCCAGACCTTGGTCCTGGGGCCTTACTGGGCTCAGCCTCTCAAGAGCTCTCAAGCCCTGCAAATTCTGAATGTTAAGAAACTGGAGGTATTATAGATACTGCAGGCTAACCTGGAGAATCACCATCAATCAATCAATAAATAAATAAATATCCTGGAGGCTGGAGGTCAATGAGAAGGGAGTGCAGCCACTGAGCTCGAAACCCAGGCCCCCTGCACCCTATGATGGCTGGAGGAGAGGAGGATAAGAGACCAAAAGCAATGTGCTCCTGTCTTCTTTCCCAGGGCCTTCCTTTTCATCTACAAATAATCTTTCTTTTCACACAGTGTCACCAAGCAGGCCTCCCTGGGCTTTCTCACCCTTCAGAGGCTCCTTGCTGCCCCATTTAGGTCTAAAGATCCCATCAGCCCCTCCCCTGCCCCTGGAGCTAATTAGCACACCTAACCCAGATTTTTTTCTGATTACAAATAAATAAATTCACACACACACACATGTTCATACACACAGATTAAAAACTCAAACACCACAGAAAAGGTCCTTGCTTAGCATCTGGGTGGCCATCTTAAGTGATAGCCACCATTTTAAGGAAAAAGTCTCACTTTCCCGCCAAGGGCCTTTCTGAGAAAGACTCACTACTCCCTCACACCAACCCAACCCCTAACTGCTTGCATTAAGACCCGCCCAGCTCTGATTCCTGAGCCTGCCCCATGAAAGTCCCTGAACCCAGCTCGACAAACTCTCCTGTGTATCTCTGCCTGGTCTCTGTCTTTCATTTATCCCTTACCCTTCTCTCATTCCTCGATTTCCCTTCAAAAAGTGTAACAAAGAAAGTTTAAAGAAATCATCTGAGCTGTGCACATTTGTAATCCCAGCGGCTTGGGAGGCGAAGACAGGAGAATTGCAAGTTCAAAGCCAGCTTTAGCAATTTAGTGAGGCCCTAAGCAACTTAGCAAAATAAAAAATAAAAAGGGTTGGGGATGTAGCTTAGTGGGTAAATACCCCTGAGCTCAATCCTTGGCACCAAAATAAAAGAAAGAAAAGAAATTATCTGAGAATTCACTACAGAGAAATAATAACTGTTAATATTTTTGGTGACTTCAAAATATTCGTCTCTTGCCTTTTCTTTGTCAATGCAATGTGTGATGAGCTCATGTGAGACAATGCAAGAAAGTTTAGAGGTGAAATGATTGGGTTATAAGAAGTTTAATCAGTGCATTAATCCCCTGATAGGAATTAATTGGTAGGTAAGGGTAGGTACATAGGGTGTGGCTAGAGAAGGTGGGTCCCTGGGTGTGTGCCCTAGGGGTTTATATTTTGTCCTTGAGCAGAACACTCTCTCTCCCTCTCCCTCCCCCCTCTCTTTTTGCTCGCTGTTGTGTCTTGAGCTCCTTTCCTCCACCACACCTTTCCGCCATGATGCTCTGCCTCATCTCCAACCCTGAAGAATGGAATTGGCCTTCTATGGACTGAAATCTCTGAAACCGTAAGCCCCCACATAAACTTCTCCTCCTCTAATTGTTCTTGTCAGGTCTTTTGGTCACAGCAGGGAAAAAGCTGACTGAAACAATATGATATTATTTAAATATTATAAATATACTTTAGTAACCTACAGTTTTCTCAAAACAGTAGGTTTCTCATATGCATCAGTTTGGGTTCATATCCCTGTCATTCTGGGCCCAGTAGTCCCGACACAGGCTGTTTGGGGGTTTTGCTGTGATAAACAGCTCTGTGATGGATCTTCTGCAGATTGCTCATTTAGGTGATTGCTTTCCACCAATCCTGGATGTGGCATTGAAGGTGAAAGTGCACCAGTCTTTCATGTCTCCATCTGACTGCTCCATATCTTGGGCTGGCTGGGGCCCTGCTTGGTGGTGTGGGAATCCCTCTGATTCTAAGATGAGTGGGAAGCCACTTGTAAACAGGGAAATGAAACCAACCAGAGGCGGGGCTCCTTGAGGACAGAGCCAGGCTCCCATCCAAAGGAAGCAGGAACCCAACCAGTTGGCAGGGCTTCAGAACTGAAGGGGTTAATAAAAGATGGATTGAGAAATCTATAAACACCCGGAAATGACTGACATGTGCTAATTTCTTCTTTAGTATTCACAATGGCGTTCTGTTAATTAAGAAGAGCGGGAGCCCAGGGGAGGCAGGAGGCCAGTCTGGCACCAACAGGCCAGCCGCCTGCCAATTCCGGGCCTTCTGTGGGTGAGGGGGTGGCTGGGGCACAGTGTGACCTTGAGGGCACAGGCCAGGGACAGCCTGGCCCTCAGGGAGCCTCCTCAGGTAAGAGACAGCATTTGCAGGGGAGAGCAGCAGTTTTAGCTGTTCTCATTTTGAACCTTGGTGGTTGCTGGTCTTCAAGGAGGCTGGAACTTGTGTGGCCTGGGTGGGGACTTGGGGTCTCCTATTTCCCAGAGTCTTCTCCACAGGTGGGGAGTGGGGGGTGGACAGCATTCCACACCCCCCACCCAGAGCCTGGACAGCAGCAAGAAAACCCCCATAGCTGATGGAGGAAACAAGGCTGAGCAGACACAGATAGAGCAGGTCCAATTTTCTGAGTGCATGGGTAGAAAGGATCCTGCCTTCTGCCTCTTGGCTGTAGGGGAGGGATTACAAGAGGGAGACCACTCCAATCACCTCCCTCTACACCCGCTATCTCATTACCCTTCTTTCCCACCTCCCCAAAGCACTGAGCTAGAGGACTGGCCTAGGGTACTCTGGATAGGTAGAGTACACCTGGAGACTGCCTGGGTGTGAGTGTGTTCCCTGTGTTCCTGTATGATAATGAGTATGTGTTCATAGCCTCTCTATTTGTGTGGTGTGTATATCATTGTGCATGTGTGCATTTGAATGCATATGGATGTAAGTGTATGTCTGTTCTGATCCCAGTTATCCCCCTTTCAAGCTGAGTCTTTGGGCAACCTCATATCTCTATAGTTCATATTCTTCATCTGTAAAATGGGAATAATGATAGTACCCCATGAAGTCAATGCTGCCCACTAATCTGTGAAGATTATGTAAATGTGTATGACATGCTTAGAACGTTCCCTGGTGTGTATAAGTGAAATGGAGGTGCTTGCTATTATTATTTGGCTGGTGCAGCATCTTTAGCCCAGAATGTCCTTCCCTCCTCTACTAGTCCCTCTGCTTGGTGAAATCCTATTTGTCCTTCAAGACCCAGCTGAAGGGTTGGGCAGCATCAGGCCCACTTCACTGTACAAGGAGATCTACTTTAGAATCCCAGGCTCAAGGGCAGAACCTCAGTGCAGAGAGGAGACTATGACCCCCACAACGTACCTCAGTGCCTCACAGTTAAGATACAAATGTGTAAGTAAACACACCAACTTGGGCTAGTACATATCTGTACAATGATGACACAGACACAGAACGTTCACCCAGATGCCCACACACAATTTGTAGGACACAAATATTTTGTATTCTCAGCATTCACAGGCATAGGACTCACACTCATAATCTTTACAAATTTAAACCTTCTATATGAACAGCCTATTACAGAGGCATAATTTATATACACATACTTTGTACACAAGTAAGGGACACAGACAGGACACACATAGAGTTCTTCATTCACACAAATACAAGAGTTATATTTTGTACAAATAAATATTATATACACAATGCAGGCATACCCAGAATGTTCACATGTGTACACATGACATGTTCTTTATGTGCAAGGCATGCAGGATAATGAAAACATGCACACACAT